TCTTCATTTACTTAGTTCAGTCACAGGAATCTGGGAGTAGCTTGCTTTGAAGCCAGGGAAGTTTTTCTCCTCATTTGTGACCAGCGTCAGTAACATGACGTTTCCAGAGATGAAGGATAATGATTTTTGAGGATGACCACACTGTCTGAGAAAAGAACGGATATATTAACTTTTAAAGAGGAACTTTAAAGAAACCTGAAAGGCCTGTTTTCTTTCTGATAACACAGAGTAGTGATACCACAGTCCTGGGGCTGGATGCATGTAAAGATGTGAAAAAGAAGAAATATAAATAAAAAACATCCCAAGCATTTATAAAGGAAGAATGTGTCATACAAACACACAGCTCTCCCATATAGCTCAGACCAGATCTACACAGTTTGGTTTTTAAGTTAGGCAGGAATTAAGGTAGCTTACCAAACTAAAACATCGATCTACATTATTACAAACTTAGTGTTCAAAAACTTCTTTGCAAACAAATCCAACAATAAAAAGAATGAGTGTACCTTTCTGCCTTTTCCCATACACATAGCTTTAGCTGTGAATTTGCAAAGATTCCTGCATCCGCCCCTGAAGTATATCTGCCCATCACTGTAATAAGCTAATATCTCAAACACACAGAGGTAGATGACGGTTTAAATTCTGGGAGAGGGATTATTTGTCTCACTCTGTCAGAGCACGTTTCTCTAAGGGAGCCAGCGAATCATAGGCTTTGATGAAGTCGTGCTGACAGTCGTCCTCCAAGATCAGACTGTGGAAACTGAGCCGGACTCGGTGGCCCCGGTCTGCACGAAGCCTCCACTGCAAATTGAGATTTGGAGGATAAAAATAATCTGGAAACCCCGGAGAATGAACAAATCCAGGGTTTCCGACGTGGATGTCGATCGTCTCTGAAAATACATTGAAAAAAGTTCTTGTTTGTCCCACACCAGCACTACAATGAATGCATCACCTTTTTTTTCAACAGGATATGAAAGTACAAGCTTTTATATTTTGCAACCTATTTACCTCCATAAACAGACTTCTTTACATTTTAATTTTAATAAAGTTGTATACTTTACTACACAAATGCTTGCAGGTAAACCAGTCCTCACCAGTTAATGGGGTCCTGGCCAAGCGCTGATCTATAGCTGTGAACACAAAAACACATTTATTAGGACACCACATATCAGTTCTTCACTACTAACTCAAATTTCATGATGCTGAAAATGTTCAGATAAATACTGGTGGAATTTTCTTTTTTAATCATGTATGATTTTATTTTGCTGTAGTGTAATTATTTATTATTCAAGGTGACTCCGGTTAGCATTTGTTCAGTTAAACACACCAAAACTCACATAACTATGACAATAATGATATCTTGTTGTATCACACACTTCTTTAACAGTCTCATAAAGTCCCAAATAGTGTACCACATCAGCTGTCGAGCATGACACCTGAAACTTTTTTGCAATAGCAGCAGCATATACTGAGGCTGCGTCCACACTAATTGATTTCTCTCCGTTTTGGCCTCCCGTCCACGCTGAGACGGTGTTTTCACTGATGGAAAACGCTCTCGAAAATGCATACATTTCAAAACGGTGCTTTTGCGTCGCAGTGTGGGCAGCGAAAACGGAGACTTGCTAAAACAATGAGGCATTTTAGTCATGTGATGCAGTCATGTGACCAATTAAGTAACCAAGTTCAGGGTCCAATTTAAGATCATAATCATGACCTATAGGGCCCTGCACGGTGTAGCTCCAACTTACTTAAGTGATCTTCTTCTTTCCTATCACCCCAGCAGGTCCCTGAGGTCTTGTGACCAGGGGTTGCTGG